TAAAGAATGTAAGTTTCTTTGCATATATTTCCCTGGAAAATAAGAGGAATGATTCATTTGTAAAAAAATTTAAATTTTATATATTTGTACCATTGCAGAATTTATTGAATTAAGTAAGTATATGTTTAGTAGACATGTGAGATTCATAGGGTAAAATTTTATTCTGTACTTGAAATTCTATAAACCATCTGGTTATACACATCTTTATTTTCCAAATGAGCAAACTAAGGCACAAAAGGAAAGGATTAATTTAGTAGAGGTACTGTTGTTTATTAATAGCATATTTTCTCTTAAAGTCAAATTGTCTGACTTTATCCAATTCTTTTCAGATATATCATATGCATTTCACTGGTTGGACAAATTTTATTATAAGTTCTTATGAACATAGTAATAGACTGCTCCATATTAAAGTACAAATTGATATAAGAGGTTAGAATTTTTCCCCCCAGGGAGATCAGTTTCTCATATCCCTTTCCACTTTCTCCTGGCTTTCCTTCTCACATTTTTAAAATTTTTGATTAAGGCAAGATAATGATTTTGAAATGGATATGAAAACTTTTTTAGGTCCTATAGTGATTAAAAATATTTTATGTTGTCTATAATTCCAATTGAACTGAATACTGCTTAAGGAAGATAACTGTCTACAGCAACTCTATTCATATACATCTTTCCTTTGATCCTCTGTAGTCTTTAATTGTATGATGTTCATTTAATTATATTCTCTAATTGTTTCAAAGCACATTTTTATTTTTCCAGCAGGCTTCTGAGTCCACTGATCTGCAGGATAGGTGAATTTTCTTACCAGGCAAAGAAAGCATTCTCCTCTATTCTCAGTTTAGGGACCTGTTATTTTGAAATACTCTGTCTACCAAATAGTCTTTACTAAATAATAATTAACCATTTGTTTCTCTTTTCCAAATCAAAATGTTACCTGTTTTCTATATCCCACATGTTATTGCCAATTATATTCTTCATTTAATGAGATTCATCTAGAGTTTTATCACCAAATATGTACTATTTCCATCAGAATTTTTGAAATGTTAAAAATTTTTTTATTATTTTTATCTTCCTTCTGGCATAGTAACAATATATTTGTGATATAACAGTGTGCCTAGAGATTAGGGAGATTAGAGATGTTTCTTGCAGCAAAATGAGGAGGATTGAGGGCTCCCCAGAATTAATTTGATGGAAAAGGAGAGTTAGGGTCAAAGATGTTCATGAGGTAAATTGGCAGGACTTGGTGATAATCATATATAAAGAAAGAAATCAGGGATGTAATTTGTTAACTACTGTTGTCACCACTGATTTACTTTGGGAACTGAAAAGCTATATAAGATAATAGTTTCTATTCTAGAGTAACCTGGACACTCGAAAACATTAAATTTTTGTTCGGAAACTAATTTATAGTCTGGACCGTTAAAAAAAATAAAAAACGTTTTTCATAGAAAGGATGACTAACATTTGTTACATCAATTATTAGTTATAGGAATCCTTTGAAATATTCGTATGCAACAGAAGGGTGAAATCACTAGCTGGATTTATAAAGATTTTATGGTCTTTACCTGAGTTTTAACAAAATAAGTTTAAAGTATGTATTATGCAGAAGTAATTTCTTTTTCCAATTCCTCTCTGTTACAGATGATTACTGTGAATGCTTCCTTGTTTCCTAGTTCTGTGGCCAACTCATTAATTGCAGTTGGAAATGATGGACTTCAGGAAAGAGACAGAATGGTCCGAGCATGCATTGCCATTATCTGTGAACTAGGTCAGAATTTTCTTCAAGTAATAAAAATACAGTTTTTTATAAGGAATATGTAACATTTCCTAATGTCTTTAATATATAAGTCCTTTACTTATTGGCACAAAATATGAAAAAGTACATTTCTGGTCGGAAAGTAGAGTTGCTATTTAACAGGCAATTTCTAAATGACATTGAAATTGTATGAATCTTAAAAGTTTTACTCATTATGAAGTTTAGTATAGGAGTTGTCTAAAATCTAGTAATTACAATAAAATTCCTTAAAGTCTGAAATTCTGACATAAATTACACTATTTGCTGATATGGATTAAAATAATAAATAATCCACCAAGTATCAGAAATGAATTCTAAATGCAAAGGGAACCTGAGGGTAAGACATATGTAAATATTTATCTTATCATTGTGAAGAAAATGAATTTTGAAGATGAATTTTGAATCAAAAGAAATTGCAGGGAGGGGCTGTGGCTGTGGCTCAGTGGTAGAGCGCTTGCCTAGCATGTGTGAGGCCCTGGGTTCGATTCTCAGCACCACATACGAATGAATGAATGAATGAACGAATGAACGAACGAGCGAATGTCCATCAATAACTAATATAAATATTTTTAAAAACCCCAGGGATTTTAGTATCTATAAATTTTTAGTCTAAGGAGTCAAGAAAACAAGTGGTGCCAGAATAAGCAAGTAAAACAAACAGTAAATGTAACAAATTAACATTAAATACAAATCAATAGGAAAGCCAGATAATCCTTAGAGAAATATCTGGCTAATTAGCATATAAGTTCGGTCTTACTTATTGAAAATAAATGTAATTTAAAATAATTTTTAATTTTTAAAAAATTATAGATGGACACAACACCTTTATTTATTTATTTATTTTTATATGATGCTGAGGATTGAACCAGCATCTCACAAGTGCTAGGCAAGCACTCAACCACTGAGCTACAATCCAAGCCAAAATAAGTGTAATTTTTAATGGCAATAAGAGATGACATGTTTTCTGCTACTTAAAATAGGAATAGTGTAGGTCACATTCCTCTTGGGACAATAAATAAATTAATTTTAAAAAAAGTTTAAGCTAAAGAAAGAGCCAAATCCTACCATTCTATATTTTAAAGTACTTTCCACAGTATCTTTTGGTTTAGCAACAAATTTAGAAATTTGATTAAGAAAGTTTACAACATAATAAAAATCTGACTATATGGGATCCCTGGAAAGCTATACTCAGGATTAATGTG